CGACGACTCAAGCTATTTGGCCCCACAAACTGGAATCTGAGGAACAGAATCCATTCCTTCAGGTTACTAGTCTTTTAGTTTCTCTAGGCGCATGTTTCTGATTAATTCTGCTCAGTTCTTGAGTTTTATGTGGAACCCCCTGTCATGGGTGATGGAAGCTGCTGCGCTCGTCGCTATCGTACTTTCAAACAGTCAGGGCAAACCCCCTGACTGGCCTGATTTTGTCGGCATCGTTCTCTTGCTATTCATCAACTCTGCCATTGGTTTCTACGAAGAACGTAACGCTGGAAATGCCGTCAAGGCTCTTATGGACTCCTTGGCACCTAAAGCCAAGGTTAGAAGCGACGGCCAATGGTCAGAAATCGAGTCATCCATTCTCGTCCCTGGGGATATGGTGTCATTCAAAATCGGTGATATCGTCCCAGCCGATTGTCGTCTGACGGAGGCCATCAATGTTTCTATTGATCAGGCCGCTTTGACAGGTGAGTCACTGCCTCAGTCCAAGAAAACGGGCGACCAGTGCTTTTCGTGAGTCTATAATGTTTTCGGAGCACATTGTTCAGTGTCTGACGTCTTTTTTTCAGGGGATCCACGTACAAGCAGGGTGAAGCTGAGGGAGTGGTTATCTCCACATCAGCAAAACCTGGGTGAGCTAGGCAGCACGTGGCAGGGCTGTGTAGTGCCATAGCACCATAGAAAGGGGTATCACCTTTACAGTCACCTGCACGTTCTATGCAGCTCTACATAGAAACGCACAGCCACTACACAGCACTCCCTAGAATCTCAGAGCAGATCTGCAGCCATTCATAGAAACACATAGCCACTTCATAGTGCTCCCTAGAATTACGGAGCAGATCTGCAGCCCTCAGTAGCAACCCCTGGGGTCTGCAGATTCCTAGAGGGGGGGCATACATTCTGCTCATTTTAATACCATATTGCATGATTTTTACACAGAACTTGTGTTACGAAAAAATAAGTTTATTGTCTGCACTACTACATTATACAAGATATCCTAATATTCTACATAGTAATGACTGCAGTATATCAAATTTATGGAATAAGAGACCGTCCATCTTTCATCAACAGAGGGAGGATGCCATTCGCTAACAAGGAGGGGAGGACGGTTGTTCGTCAAGGGACGGAGCCATTCTTCAAAGGAGGGAGGACGCCATTCGTCGACAAGGGA